GATCCGTTGCTGGACACGGAAAAAGACAAAAGACAAAAAAAAAAAAAAAAAAAAAAAAGTTCTTGTTTGGAAGAGAGCAAAGGGGTTCTAAGAGGGCTTTAAAAAGTGGTAGGGATGTCCAATGGGTGGAACACTTGCTTTACGTAACACACTTAAAAACCTCTCATGCGTGAGTTGGTTTGTATAAGTGGTATTTACCAGACTTATACCTAAACGAATGCAAAGTGAATTTGGAAGTTTTGAATATTGCCAGTGAAAATTAACAGTGGGGCAAAATAATATGATTCATTCTAGTACAGGGGTTTAGTAAAAGGATTTGACAAACTGAGCAGGAATTTCTAAAATAAAGTGATGATTTCATAAACTAGCTTAATAATAGAATGTTCTAGTCAAAGGTCACCAATGACCAATGTGTTGCTGAGTTAATGATCAGTTTTCAGACCTCATCTGTTCCAGCTTCCTGGTAGCATTTGACACAGGTGATCTGCTCATCCTTGATGACCTTCTTCTCTTGGCTTCCGTGACACCCACTTCCTGAGTTCCGACCTTGGTCCTCTTCTCTAGCTGCACTCGCTGCCTTGGTGAGCTCATCTAGCCTCACTTTCAGTTCTATGTGCGGACAATTTGTGAATGTGTATCTCCAGGCCACACCGCTCTCCCACATTCCAGACTCACATAGCCAACTGCATACCTGACATCCCTACCTAGATATGTGCGGAAGACATCTCAGACTCAACATGAGTAAAACAGAACTCCTCATCTTCACTCCCGCAAATCTGACCTACACCATTCCCCATTCTTCCAGTTGCTCTGGTCAAAAACTTAGCTCATTTTTGACTTTTCTCTTTCATTCACTCCCCACAATCAATTGTCCAGGAAATCATGTTGGCTCTGCCATCAAAATATACTACAATCTGACCATTCTCTCTACTTCTACTGCTACTCATAAGCCAAGTCACCATTTAACATGTGAGTCAGATCATGCCCTTCCTCTGCTCAAAGCCTCCAGCAGATCCCATCTCACTTAGAGCCTGCAACACCCTGCTGACCCAGTGCCGTCCCCTTGCTGGGCACCTGCCCATCTTGTCTGATCGACCGCAGTGGCCTCTGTTGTTCTCAGCACACACCAGGCGTGACCCTGCTCAGGGCCAGTGCTGTAGCCATTCCCTCAGTGTGGAGGGATTTTCCCCAGACATTGGCTGACTTCCTCACCTCCTTCAATCCTGTGTGAAAAGCTATTCTGTAAAACTGACTATGTCATTCTCAGCATGAGTTCTTAAAAAAAAAGATCCCAAGCATGTAGTATGTGAAAAGTAAGAGGATTTTATTGACTGTTAAATGTTCTTGGAGAAAACCATTCACATGTAAAAGTTTGACATTTGATATGAGATTTATTCACACTTTTTTTACACATAAATTCTTTAATTTGTGGGACAGACATAATTTTTCATTCTGACAGGACTTTCACATGATTACAGTCACAAAATTGGCACACTATATTAAAATACTAAATCAAATGGAGCTGGACAAAGTACGTGGCTTTATGTCAATTTATTTATTTATTTATTTTGGTGGCTGGCTGGTACGGGGATGTGAACCCTTGACCTTGGTGTTGTAACATCACGCTCTAACGAAGTGAGCCAAATGGCCAGCCATTACACCAATTTAAATCTCAACATGCGCCACTCTTCATACATGATCTTGGAAGTATCTGTTGTGAGCTTACTAAAATATTAAACAGAGAAATGTCTGAGCTCACAAATAATTGTTTACAAAATAAGACCTCTTTTCCTAGTGCTACTTGCTTGTTACAGAAAAATATTACAAACAAAAATTAGTGCTATTCGAGATGTTCATTCAAAATCACATGATATACAAGTTTCAAACCAGTTTTTTCTCTCTCACATAGAGACATCATGATGAACTATGTGAAGACTGAATCACTGATTAAATGCACCTTGTCCACCTCTACCAGCTTAGTAATGACAATTGTTTACTATGTTGACTGGTTAAAAATGAGAGTGAATTAAAACATTTTCAGGTACTGGATACACTCATAATTTGTTTCTAGTTTGGGACTCAAAAAACTGCTAGAGAAACATGACAAAATTTCTATTTCTTCCTGATACAAGAAATTTGCCTAAAAATCTGTAATTATAAAACAGATTTGCTTTTTATAAAGAACTGGCTAATTTTTCTCATGGTGGGAACGTTATTTAGAGATGATTCTAATTTTAATTCGGACCCTCTTTCCCTGGAGGGTAGGAAGGGGTGGCTAAGTATTATGAGGAATATTCGACAAACAGGGACGTTTCAAAGAGGACTACAGAGCACTGTTACAATCAGTCAGCTGTAATAGTTTCCTTTCTTGTGATAATGTAAATCTTAAAGAAAAGAGGTCTCTCATAAGCTATATACAGCAGTTTACACTTCAGTGTTTCTTTTTCACTTGATATACAATTAAAATTAGTTTATGACAAATACTTGTCACATAAATTTATGTAGGCACATTCCATTCTATAGCTTTACTGGAGAGGCGAACTCTTCAGTGGGATCATGATTCTGGATTCCATTTCCTGAATAAGTGGGACTGAAAACAGGATCAAGATTATTGTGCTTGTTCTTTTCCAAACACATTACAGTAAACATACATTAACAAATAGGTGGCCGAGAACGTTCAGAAGACCTGCTGCTTGAAAACAGAATAGAGTTTTGGAAAACATAGGACTGATCTCATGGGCAGAAATATACAAGCTAATAATAGATCAGCTAGCATCCCATGAGATGTTAAAAAACTAAAACAGATCCAACCTGGAGATTTGTTTCATTTGTGGGAAATTAGCAAAGCCCATATTGTGAGAAAAATGGTGATTTCTCGAAAGGTTCTTTGAACTAAAATAAATTTATATAAAACCAAGTAATATTACGTTTGAATGTATCGTGTACAAAGAAACAGATATGCTATACTTGTAAAACTGTCAATGCTGAGTAACAAATGCTGCTGGGAACTGATGGAAAGTGTAAGAGTAAGCAGCAAAATCACACATGATTTTTTGAACTAAAAGACAAGATAATACCTTTTTCCAGAACAAATTATTGTTTCCTTTTCTTGATAGTATATGGGCTTAAACATCCTTGACATGCAACGTGATTGATATTTACCTCTGGGTTGTACTCAGCCTAATTGTGTTCTTATGAAAATCAAGCAAACAGGGTTTCACAGTATGTATCTATGTATGTATATATGCATGTACACTGTAGATAGGGAAAGTCTAACTTATCAAATTAAATTTCAAAACTCTTTAATTGACATATTAAGTTATGCTTTTGGGAGATGACAATTTTGATGAGAAAGGGAAAGTTTAGAAAAAATGTTATTTGTGTAATAATTTTCAGAGAATACGAGGGTACTTCAAAAAGGTAATGGAAAGATTTGTATTATTTTTCAATACTATTTTTCCATGAAATTTTTGAACTAACCTTGTATAGAAATTTACAAAAAAAGGTGATGATGTAAAGTTTACAGCATTCGAGGGTCTGAAAACTATACCAGAAACATAGATACTTGAAAGAATAAATATTTTTTATTGAAAAAAAAGTTGTGTAAGTATTAAAAAATTGACTATCTCCCCTCCCACCAACCTTATAATTAATTCACCATCTCAGCAACATACTATTAAAAAAAAAAATACCTATTAGCTTCAGGGAGAAAGAACATAATTGAAATAGTATGAAAATAATCAAATAGTTTGCACCTGTTGAAATATTACCTGTATAGTACACCAATTCCTCCCAGCCGTGCTTATGCCATGCTGCATTGCGAATGTCTTCCCTGGTCTGAAGATCCTTGTAAGCTTAAATATAACCACACAAAAGAAAGACTTGAGTGAGATGTAATGCCCTACAGTTCAACAGTACATCTGTTAAGATACTGACTTAGCTGGTCATCTAGTTTTCTCAGAGACTACTTTGAGCATTTAGTACAGAACTGAGAAAACTGTGTGCTCGTTAATATGAGCAAAATGATATTAGGCCTTGTGGGAGAAGCAAAACAATCCTCTTCAGTGAATCCAAAATACATCTTTACAAACTAAGTGAAACTCTTCAATAACATGTTAAATGCATAACTAGAAATCATGAGACCACAGATAAGCAATATCAAATTTAATCTTGCTCAACATTATAAAGTGCTACACAGATCTGGGCGAGAGAAGGTGTTCAATGCAGCAGAGAAAGAGCCGAGCAAAGGCCAGCCCAAGCCTGCTGAGTGCTGTGGTGAAGGCGAGGACAGAATCCATGAGGGGAACTGGGAGGCGGCCGAGGAGAGCTGCCTGGAAGGTGTGATTTGACCAGATGGTTCCTAAAGGTTGGCAAGGACATCACTGACATACAGGAACGCCAAGAAAGGTGCTCCAGGCAGAGGGGCCAGCATGGTCAAAGCGTCACACAGGCATTTGGTGTCATGTGCTACACTTCAAAAGGTGTCTCATATGCATGCCTTGGTTTCTGATTCCCAATCTGGGCAAGTTCCTTTCAACTACTCACCAGGAAAATGCCTGCTAGCCATCTTGGTCTGCAGTGTTGGTCAAGACTAAAAGACTGCCTAGTTCTAGTTTGTTTCGGGACACACACCCTGTGCCACAGGACTTCCTTCTTTCTGTAAGAAAACCTACTCCCGTAGGCCTACCAATTTAACTATCTAAAACCAAATTTCCCTCTACACAGGTTGGGGAGGTTTTTTAAGTTTTAATTAAAAAATGTTTTTATGGTGGTAAAATATACATAACATAAAATTTACTACTCCAACCATTTCTAAGTGTATAGTTCAGTGACATTAAATGCATTCACTGTTGTGCAACTCCTGTTTCCATCCATCTCCAGAACTTTATCATCCCCAATTAAAACTCTGCATCCATTAAACAATACCACCACGTCTCCCTCCCCCATCCCGATAACCTCTGTTCTAAATTGTCTCTGTTGCTCTGTTTTTTCTAGGTACCTCACCTAAGTGAATTCATACAATATTTGTCCTTTTGCATTTGGCTTTATTTTCCCATAATGTCCTCAAGTTTCATCCATGTTGTAGCATGTACTGAAATTTTATTCCTTTTTTTGGCTGAATACTGTTCTATTGCATGTAACTTCCACACTCTGTTTATCCATTCATCTGTCGTGGACACTTGGGCTAGGGAGGCTTTTTAAAGATGGCGCTTGAGGGCCGGCCTGTGGCTCACTCGAGAGAGTGTGGTGCTGATAACACCAAGGCCACGGGTTCGGATCCCTATATAGGGATGGCCGGTTAGCTCACTGGGTGAGTGTGGTGCTGACAACACCAAGACAAGGGTTAAGATCCCCTTACCGGTCATCTTTTAAAAAAATAAATAAATAAAGATAGCACTTGAGGATGCTCCTGACTGAGAGTGGTGTGGGAGCAAGGCCACAAGTCCGGCGGGGGAGGGACAGCATCAGGTATAGGGCCAAGAGGAGGCCTGCTCTGCTCTGACCCGCCTTGGAGCCAGACACACTGAGGCCTATGCCTGGCTCTGCTGCTGAAGAGCTGTGGGTTCCTGACGATTTATCTACCACCTATGAGCCACAGGAATCTCATCTGTGGGGGCAGTTGTAAGGATCAAAGGTGATGATTTGTGTAACAGTAAAATAAACAACACCTGAGAGGTGCCTGCTAAGTCTTGGTTCTCTTTCTCTAAAACATATAGAAACCTGAGGGTAAGTTTTGGGGCAATTGAAAATTCATGTCTGCATATCTCAATACTTTTTCCTATAAAGTAGGAATTGGGCAGTGGATATTTGGGACACTGACTGGGGTCAACAGTGGACACCTTGGTGTGAAAGGAAGGTGGAGAAAGGGACTGAAAAGACACAAACACACTGCAATGTGGCCCCTCATGGATGCTCACGCACTGCGTGGCTCCTGGTGCCGGTGCCCCTGCAGGGAAGAGCATTTTGGCGACTCCTCCTCATCGTGCTGCTGCTCTGTGAAGCCTTGGGTCCCCCCCATGGGACAGAGTTAAGGGATCTGCCCTGTGCTCCCCACAGACTCAGTGAGAGCTCTTCCACTCATGCCAGGTGCCTGCCCGTTTGCAGTTCCTTTGCCTGGGAGTCCCTGCCCAGACCTGCCACAGGTACTGATGAGAACAGAGTGCGTGCCTGGCTTGACTCCCACCAGAGTGCCAAAGCACGTGGTGACAGGCCAAGCTTCCTCCATCTGCTCTGACCCATCAGTTCCTGTGTTCATCTACGCACAGGGAGGTCCAGGAGGGTGAACAGGAGCCGGGGGTCTGACTTTTCAGTTTATATCCTCTAGACAGAACATATACTATTTCTGAAATAATAATAAAAACTACTTCACCCACACCTCAAATCCCTAAAGGTTAAATTACATGTAGTATAATCTCAAAAGTCAGGGAAATGCAGAACACATCAAAGATTGTTTCTAAACCTACTACATTTGAAAACTCTGATACTGATAGGGTTGAACCTCAGCTAGCTAGAAAACCCAGCCTTCCAGGATGGTGCTGCCCGTTGGTGTTCTACGGAGCTGAAGTTGCGGCATCTACCATTCAGTGCAGAGGGAAGATCAGTGTGGGAGGCGGAGCTGAACACAGGAGCCTTGGTCGAAGGAGTGATTGCTGAGAGTGAGGATGGGTCTCTTCCCCAGACTCTACAGGAAGGGTTCCAGGAGCACAATGTAAAAACTATTTTTGCCTCAACTTACCCCTTCAGACTTAGGTTCCATTTAGCCAGTCTGCACTATTTGTTGTTTTCTGAGTACTTCTTATAACCTCCTGTCTCCATCACGGTTCCAGCCCTTCCCTCCACCAACACCTGTCAATTCCATCTAGATCCTGAAGTGTAGCTCACATTCTTTTACAATTTTCCCCAAGTACAGGTAATTTTATATCCTTTCATGTCTCCAGAGTACCCTGAACCAACTCCCCATGTTACCTATCACACACTGCCTCACGCCATGGTTATTCACTCGTTTGCTTTATTCCTTGTTAGATCTGTCATTCCTATCTCTGCAAACCGTGAAGCTAACACACAGGGCAGATGGAGTCTCAACACTTGTTGAAAGCAAACAGGTCAAACCAAAAGCTCTCAGTTTATTGATATGGCCTGGAAATTAATTATGCTTTTCCTTTAACTTTATTATTTATTTATTTATTTTTTTTTTTCCTTTTTGTCTTTTTTCGTGTCCGGCAACGGACCGCAACCCTCAGTGTTGTGCCCGTACCAGATCGGGACCAGCAACGGGATTGCAACCCTCGGTGCTGCGCCCGCCCCTCGCTCAGCCAGTGAGCGGGAACCAGTCTGTATGTGGGATCCGAACCCTCGGCGGGAGCGCCGCCGCGCTCCCAAGCGGCGCACTGTAGCAGTGCGCCACCGGGCCGGCCCTCCTTTAACTTTATTTTTTTTATTTTTATTTTTTTTGTCTTTTTGTCTTTTTCCATGTCCGGCAACGGATCGCAACCCTCAGTGTTGCCCCTGTAGCGGACCGGGGACCGGGAACGGGATTGCAACCCTCGGCGTTGCTCCCGCGCCTCGCTCAGCCAGTGAGCGGGAACCGGTCTGTATGTGGGATCCGAACCCTCGGCGGGAGCGCCGCCGCGCTCCCAAGCGGCGCACTGTAGCAGTGCGCCACCGGGCCGGCCCTCCTTTAACTTTATTTTTTTTATTTTTATTTTTTTTGTCTTTTTGTCTTTTTCCATGTCCGGCAACGGATCGCAACCCTCAGTGTTGCCCCTGTAGCGGACCGGGGACCGGGAACGGGATTGCAACCCTCGGCGTTGCTCCCGCGCCTCGCTCAGCCAGTGAGCGGGAACCGGTCTGTATGTGGGATCCGAACCCTCGGCGGGAGCGCCGCCGCGCTCCCAAGCGGCGCACTGTAGCAGTGCGCCACCGGGCCGGCCCTCCTTTAACTTTATTTTTTTTATTTTTATTTTTTTTGTCTTTTTGTCTTTTTCCATGTCCGGCAACGGATCGCAACCCTCAGTGTTGCCCCTGTAGCGGACCGGGGACCGGGAACGGGATTGCAACCCTCGGCGTTGCTCCCGCGCCTCGCTCAGCCAGTGAGCGGGAACCGGTCTGTATGTGGGATCCGAACCCTCGGCGGGAGCGCCGCCGCGCTCCCAAGCGGCGCACTGTAGCAGTGCGCCACCGGGCCGGCCCTCCTTTAACTTTATTTTTTTTATTTTTATTTTTTTTGTCTTTTTGTCTTTTTCCATGTCCGGCAACGGATCGCAACCCTCAGTGTTGCCCCTGTAGCGGACCGGGGACCGGGAACGGGATTGCAACCCTCGGCGTTGCTCCCGCGCCTCGCTCAGCCAGTGAGCGGGAACCGGTCTGTATGTGGGATCCGAACCCTCGGGTGGGAGTGCCGCTGCGCTTCCCAAGCGGAGCACTATCCAGTGCGCCACCGGGCCGGCCCTTATTTTATTTTTATTTTATTTTATTTTTTTTCCTCCTTTAACTTTAAAAACCTTTTACAACTCTGCCCAGAATGTGCTGGCAGTATTATTCGAGCTGTCACTGAGATGCAGCTCCTGTGCTAGCAGAGAGAGAGGCACGAATAGCCACAACTGTGACACCCAGCACAACACAAGGCTCCAGACACTCAGGAGGAGAGTGACATGCACTCGTGGGGAGCGGATAACATCTGAGCCAGGCCTTGGGAGATACCAAAACGGTGCCTAACAAAATTGGGTGGTGATAAGAAAGGCGACAAGAGAAGAGCTTCCGGGAAGGGCTGTGGGAGCTGCCTCTCTGCATAAAATGCAGGCCTGCCTCTGCGGCAGTGTGGGAAGTTGGTCCAGAAACCAACTGGGACCACCCGTGAAAGGCACTCCATGGCTTTGTCACCCTCTATCTCCCACAGCTGACTGTGCCACCTCTCACTCCCATCCCCATCACACCTCTCAGCACCAGCTCAGCACTTGCCACACCTGTGATGCTCAGATCTGCTGTAGCATTTAAGGTGACTGACTGAGATTCATTCCACTGCCTAGTGCAACTTATTTACTAATGAACTCTTAAGTCAAAAACAAAGGAAAAAATACACACCCCAGAGGTGATGCACCATGTACAGCTGCCCAATCTGAGAGAAGAATCCTCCCACTGCTTCGTTACTGTCCTGTCTGAAGCGAATTGCACGAGCCCTGTAAGAGAAAAGCAGTATTCAGATACTGAACTAGGCAAGTTAAAAATCAGTACATTCATCTCCAAACACGGCAAGTTGTTCAGACTGAAGACTATTTTTTAACGATTATCAAACTATCAAATGCAGTTATTTTAATGTAAGTAAAATGTAAATGCACATATATGCAGCTACAATAACTTCTGTGAGAAGTGGACAGTATTTAATGATTGCTAAAAATACAAACAGCAATTTGAGAACAGGTGCTTGAGCTGCTGATTCCTGACATAGTCCAGAAAACTGGCAGAGGATAGGACTTGTCAACTCCAAAAGTGAGGGAAAGCTGGACATAGAACACCCAAGACGCACAGAGTGCTGCATACAAGGCAGGCAGGGGACCGCCCTGGGTGGGTGCAAACCGGGTGAAGGGATCACACCTTCGCAGAGGCAGATGGCAAGCTCTCGGGCATCGTAAGAGGGACTCTGCGGCCTCCTGGACAGCAGCACAGGAAGAGCCATGATGACGGAGCTCTAGGCCATCACTACCACCGTTAGACAAAGCTGCCTCTGGTTTTCTGCTTTCCTTTTTCTTACCAGAGCCATTGGGAAGATAAGTACCTAAAGGCATTCATTATGTATTACTACATATGGAGGAAAGTGCAAATACACATTGTGTCTATGTGTATAACATAAAATTGTGATTAAACTGGTTAAAACTGAGCACTTGTCAAACTTCTTTAAGATTTCCTACAGCAAAAGTTATCAGCTCCTTAATTTAACCACCTTCTTTCCTTCTCACATCAGGTACTTCATTTTTATATTTAATGATGCATATGAATTCCTAAATGTTTAAAAGTGTCTATTTTTCCAAAAGCAGTTTTCTAGAATTAAAGGCAAAAAAGGAACGGGCTTCAAATAATGTAGAAGAAGCAGTTTAGTCTACCAAGACGCTCCACACATGGGTTACCCAGTAAATTTATTTCAACACTGCCCAGGCTCTGGCCTAAAATCACCTCAGCATCCCAGAGTTGATAGGACTTGGGAAGATAGATTCATTCTAATTCATTTAAAAGAGATGGAGTCATATAAAGCAGGACACTAATCTACTAATATTTACAGTGAGTGACAGAACTCTCCAGGGACAAGTGCCTATGTTGGCTTGACCAGTGTACTCTCTTACTGGAGGCAAACCTCATCGGCACTGAATCATGGGCACAGTGGAGTCTGGAATCAGAGCAAGAGCATCTGGCTGTGAATGGTGGAGCCGGGCTCCTCAAGGTCACGTTGAACACCTCTGCTGTCACCCTCCATGAGCTCAGTGCCACAAGTGGCCTGCCCCAAGCCTTCAAGTTCCTCTGTGGTAAAGGAGGGATCTTCTGCTATTGCCCTCATGTTACCCACAAATAATGCTAAATTCTTTAACCGTACATTTAGAATTAAGAGATCAATATCTTCACAAAAATTACAAATCTGATCGATAAATTATTGAAATCAAGCAAATTAAAGTGCATTCTAACTCAGAAGGAATAAAACTGTCTTTCATTGATAGTGATAAATATTCCAGATTACTTATTTCATTCTGAATTTTGCTAATTCAGTTATGGTAGACAAAGAAAACATACTTGCCTTAGATTGGTAATAATCAGAAGAGTTTACTGAAGAGGAGAAGACCATCTTAAATAGTCACCTATGTGCCAAAATGTAAATTGAATGCTGAACTGGCTTTGTAGATTGCTTTTTAAATTTTTTAAATTAAAAATAATTTTTAAAAATATGACCAGTAAGGGGATCTTAACCCTTGACTTGGTGTTGTCAGCACCACCCTCTCCCAAGTGAGCTAACCGGCCATCCCTATATAGGGATCTGAACCTGTGGCCTTGGTATTATCAGCACCACACTCTCTCAAGTGAGCCACAGGCTGGCCCCGTAGATTTTTTTTTAAATAACTGAATAACCTGAGTGCATCCCTGTGGATTCCATGGTGAGCAAGTCTTAACTAGTATTATGCAAAAATCAAACTAGTGAGTGATCCTATTCTGTAATCAACTAATTATTAGTTATAGGTCAAAAACAAAAGAACAAAAAACATAAACAAAAATCCGTGATAAAACAGTACCTACAATAGTAGTATGCAATCAAATATTTCTTAGTTTTCAGATTAAAAGAAATTCTAACTTGCCTTATTTAGCCTTTGATGATCCAAGAAGAAAAGATTCATTAGAAATAAAGATCACAGAACCATTTGTGTGAGATGGAAGAGATCTTAGAAATTATTCAATGCAAAGCAAGAAATTTCATAACTGAAAAAGGACTAGTCATGAAGCATAAAGAAGTTTCAGTCAATGGAGGGCACATGGGACAGTGGTCCCATAAGACTATAACAGAGCTGAAAAATTCCTATTGCCTAGTGACATTATTGCCATTGAAGAGCAACATCGCAGTACTCATGTGTGTGTGGTGACGCTGGTGTAAACAAACCTACTGTGCTGCCAGTCATACAAGAGTGTAGCACACACAGTCACGACAGTACGTGCACTTTTTTTTCCGTTTGGTTTTTGGCGGCTGGCTGGCATGGGAACCAGAACCCTTGACCTTGGTGTTATAACACTGTGCTCTAATGGTACAAAATACTTGATGACAATTAACAACTGTGTTACAGGTTTACGTGTCTACTATAGTATACTTTTTATCATTGTTTCAGAGTGTATTCTTTCTACTCATATATAAAAAAGTTAACTGTAGAACAGCCTCAGGCAGGTCCTTCAGCAGGCATTCCAGAAGGTGTCGTTACCCTCGGAGAGGACAGCTCCATGTGTGTTATCGTCAATAGACGATCCTGACCCCGGTTAAGCCTGGGCTAACGTGTGTGTGTCCTAGTTTTCAACAAAAAAATTTTAAAAGGAAAAAAATAAATAAATTTATAAAATAGAAAAACAACTTATAGAATGAGGACATAAAATATTTTTATACAGCTGTACAATGTGTTTGTGTTTTAAGCTAAGTGTTATTACAAGAGTCAAAAAGTTAAAAAAATTTTTTTTTAAGTTTATCAAGTAAAAAACTACAATAAGCTAAGGTTAACTTATTATTGAAAAATATTTTTATAAACATCATGTAGCCCAAGTGTGCAGT